CCTCGCCGCCGCACCTGCTTGCCAGATCTAGGCTCGTCCTCGTCGGATCAGGCTTCTCCTCGCCGGATCTGGTGGTGGCCACTCGGATCTGGGCTGGTTCTCGTCGGATTGAGCTCATCCTCGCGCGGATCTGGTGGTGGCCGCCACCATGTGCTTCATGCGGCCTCCAGCAGCACGCCGGAGGAGAGAAGGTGAAGGGGACCGCGCCACCAAGTCCTGCCACCGCTGGAGCTCGACGGGAGGCCGCGCCACCGAGCCACGGCACCAAGGTCCACAACCGTGCCTCCGCTGGGGGGAGGGGACTGGGTCCCGCGCGCCACCGGCGTAGGAGGAGGGGGACGGGCCCCGCGCGACTGCTGTCGATGGAGGAGGGCACCGAGCCCCGCGCGACCGCCGGGAGGCATGCCTGAACCCCCCGCCACCCCCTAGGGTGCGCCGCCGAAGTGCCGCAGCCAGAGAGAGAGGGGGTGCGACGCCGTGCGCCTCCGCTGGAGAGGGAGGTCCCATCACTGCGTGGGGGAGAGGGAGGGGCGGCGTGGGGGAGAGACGGAGGGGCTCGGAGGAGAGGGAGAGCGAGGGAGAGAGAGAGGGAGTCGAGACGGAGAGAGAGAGAGAGAGGGGAGGACAGTAGATATTTTGGATGGGTGACTTAGTGACTGTACGTGGGGCATTTGTAGGACGGCTCAATAACCAGCCGCCCCTACAAATAGAAACACTGGAGGCGGCTGGTGAGTGAGCCAACACTGGGGGCGGCTGGTGAGTGAGCCGCCCCTACAAATCCTACCCATTTGTAGGGGCGGCTCGTATCACCAGCCGCCCCTGCTATTTCATTTGGTGGGACGGCTGGTCTCGTGGATCCCGAGCACATCACTGCAGGGGTGGCTCCATCACCAGCCGCTCCTAAAAAATTTTGTCCCGTTGCTACGAACCATTTTTCACGTAGTGGTTCCTTCTAGAATTGCAGTTTTTTGTTGACAGTCCTAGAAAGGATCCTGACAACCACTGAGCGGAGAAGAGTTTCCATTTGAGTGTGGCGATGAGATTCCTCAATCCTGTCGAGTAGATCAATGACAAGCTTGCAGTCGGTCTCACGCTGGGAGCAAGAAACATGGCGTTTGCGCCACATCTTTGCAGCCACCCTGGTAAGGCGCCGAACGAAAGCAGCAGATGCCGAGGGGGATTGTTCATGTGCCAGGCATTAGAGACGGTTTCAAGGAAACGAGGTTGCAAGGTCCAAGAGTTCTCAAAACGGAAGATATTTGTTTTGGGTACGGAAGTAGCGATTTCAACCTGGAAGGGAACTTCATTAGAAGTGGTGCAGGTTAGAGATGAAAGATTTGTGTCAGGCAAAGTGTCATTTCACGCCAGATTGAAGAAGGCCTGATCCAATCTTTCAAGGGTCGGACCAAGTACTTCCAAAGTACTTCCACTTCATCGACACGCACGACATTGGAGCAAGTTGTTCCAACTCTTCTTCCACTATGTTGCTCATCTTGTGGTAAGCATCTATAGTCTCCTCGCATGATATCTTAGCTGAACACACTAGATTTATCTGTTCCAGCATAGCATACCGGTTCCCTTCAATAGGGTGCTAACTGTGAAAAATTAAATGGAGCAAATGAACGAGCGAGACCAAGCTAAGCTGCAATTTTACATGTAACATATAAACGTGAATGGATGCACATTATATAGACATCACTACCGGAAACGTCAATTTTGCCGAGTGTTTTTATGTTTGCCGAGTGTATTCTCTCGGGCACTCGGCAAACAAGTTCTTTGCCGAGTGCACTAAAAACACTCGACGAAAAAAAAAACACTCGGTAAAGAGAAGGTTTGCCGAGTGTCAAAAAAAAAAACACTCGGCAAAGATGGGGTTTGCCGAGTGTTTTTTTTTTACACTCGGCAAAGAAATAAAAATCTTTTTTCTAGGAAAGAAGGAGAAGAAAAAAATGGAAAAAAAAAACTTTGCCGAGTGCCCAGATCCAGGACACTCGGCAAAGGAAAAAAATATTTTTTCTGGGAAAGAAGGAGAAGAAAAAAAATGAAAAAAAAACTTTGCCGAGTGCCCAGATATGGGACACTCGGCAAACCAAAAAAAATCTTTTCTTAACCCCAAGCGGACGCGCCCTACCCTTCTCCCCGCACGGCACCCTCCCTTTCTCCCCGCGCCGCGTCCACACGCCCCCTCCCCTTCTCCGCCCCTCCCCGCGCACACGCACGCGCCGCCCCCTCCTCCCTCTCGGCGTCGGCGTGGCCCCGCCCTCCCCTCCTCCCTCTCGGCGTCGGCGCGGCCCCGCCCTCCCCTCCTCCCTCTCGGCCTGCCCCCGCCCTCCCTCCTCCCTCTCCCGTGCCCAGGCCTGCCCTCCCTCCTCCTCGCCTGGCGCGGCCCGCCCTCCCTCCCTCTCTCGGCGTGGCGTGCCCCCCTCCCTCTCTCGGCATGGCGGCGCTCCCCCGGCTCTCCTCACAAGGGCCTCCTCCTCCTCCTCCACCGCGTCCACAGATCCGGCCCGGCTGGGATCGGTCTACGGTGGCGCGACGGGAGGCCGGATCCGGCCCTGGCGTGGGCGGACGGATCTGGCGCGCGCCCTCCTCTCCCGGCGTGGCGGCGCTCCCCTGCCTCTCCTCACGTGGTGGTGCACCTCCCTCCCTCCTCCAACGCCTCCACCAGATCCGGCCCCAGCGCGGGCGGATCCAATGACGGTGGCGCACGGGGAGGCCGGATCCGGCCCCGGCGCGGGCGGACGGATCTGGCGCGCGGCCCTCCTCTCTCGGAGCGGCGGTGCCCTGCCCTCTCCCTCTCCCAGCGACGGCGGCGCCCTCCCCCTCCCTTTCCCGGCGGTGCCCCCCCCCTTCATCTCTCGGCATGGCGGCGCTCCCCCTGCCTCTCCCTTTCCCGACGGCGCTCCTCCACCACCTCCACCAGATCCGGCCCCGGCGTGGTGGCGGCCTGGGCGTGGTGGTGGTGCGGCGTGGTGGTGGCGCGGCGAGGAGAAGACAGCGGCTTTTTTTTATTTTTTCTGAAAAAAAATTTTGCCGAGTGTTTTTTGGGCACTCGGCAATGTCTTTGCCGAGTGCGCGATAAAAAACACTCGGCAAACTAGCGTTTGCGGTCAAAATGTTTACCGGGTGTCGTTTGTCGAGTGTAACACTCGGCAAACCCTTTGCCGAGTGTTTTTGAGGCTTTGCCGAGTGCCCCTGGCACTTGGCAAAGATCCTGTATCCGGTAGTGCGTCACCCTTTTTTGAAAAAAAAAGATTACACAACCAAATCTTTTTTAGGAATCAAGTGGGTCAAGGAGCCCCAACTGATTATAGTATATATTACACAACCAAATCTTATACAATTGTTCAAACTTTTTCAACCAACCTTTTGCATAAGTACGTACAATAAGCTTTTCGAATTTTATAATATACTAATACAAAAACCTTTTGTGACAAACAGCCATACAAGTACTCCTTGCTTCCCAAGTCAGGCCCTGTTGCCTGCTGTAAATTCCATCCTCTAGACAACAAAGTCACTACCGTTTCCATACAAATCAAATGAAACAAGCCTGTACCAACAACCAGCCTGCATGGACGAAAGGAATTGAGATTATACCCTATAATTTTTTGCTAGAGAACAATGTATTGAAAGGCTTTATGTATGTACGATTATATTCCTACAACAATAATCATCCGATTTGCAAAATCACAAGTCACTCGATTTTCAAGCAAAATATGTGCACGTTTGGCCGTGGGGGTTTGAACCTGTGACCTCAGGTCTCACGCGTAACTGCCCTAATCACTCCGCTCCAAAGTCACTTGTGACTAAGGGGCACAAATATTCTCCTCGTATTCACTTTACCCGATATGATTATTTGAGACCTAAATGATTTAAATAAAAAGGCATCAACTGCAAAGCTGTAGATATCATTGAGTACTAAAATTTTGTTTAGGTCATTTCTCCATCCGAGGTTAAAGTTGCAAGCATTATCCCTTCGAAGAATAGAGCGAAAATCAAGAAATGTAAGAAGATCCACACAGCCAGTTGCTCATGGAGGTTCATTATTCTATGATTGAAGGCCTTTCATTGTTCAAAATGAAATATAATCGTGTAAGCAAGCAATGCAAACAGATTCACGGGGTGTGTCAGTGACCAGTGAAGGTGTTGTTTTGCATGTGCGACAGCTTCTTCTATGCATTCATAATGTAGAGAAAAACATGTCATACCGTTTGATATAGCGTCTTTTTGAACCAGCTTCATTGTCCAATGGCTGCAGGAGAAGAAGCAAGTTCAGCCGTGAGGATGAAAGTTGACGTGCCAGCTTTCACTACCGGAAACCCAAAAATTTGCCGAGTGTTTTTATGTTTGCCGAGTGCATTTCCTCGGGCACTCGGCAAACAAATTCTTTGCCGAGTGCTTTTATAAAAACACTCGGCAAAACAAAAATACTCGGTAAAGAGGGGTTTGCCAAGTGTCAAAAAAAACACTCAGCAAAGAGGGAGATTTGCCAAGTGTCAAAAAGAAACACTCAGTAAAAATAGGGTTTGCCGAGCGTCAAAACGAAACACTCGGCAAAGATGAAAAACAAAAAAAAAACACGCCGCACCAAAAATCACCTCCCGTTCCCACCCTCCCCTCCCTCTCGCCCCAGCTCGCTCCCTCCCCTCCCTTCGCGCCAGCTCGCTCCCTCCCCGGATCCCGCCGACGGTCGGCCCCTCCCTCCCTCTCTTTCCCGGCGCCGGCCCCTCCCTCTCTTCCCCGGCGGCCGGCTCCTCCATCTCCTTCCCCGTCGCCCCCTCTCTCTCCCCGGATCCGGCCGTCGCGCCGCCCCCTCTCTCTCCCCGGATCCAGCCGCCGCGCCGCCCCTCCCCTCCGGATCCGGCCCCGCCGCCTCCCTCCCTCCAGATCCCGCGGCACCGCCTCCCAGCATAGGCAGCGGCGTGGAGGGGCCCGTGGCACCGCCTCCCGACACCGGCAGCGTCATGGAGGGGCCAGATCCGACCCCCACACTGGCGGCGATGGATCCGCCAGCACAGGGACAGCACGCTCTCTCTCTAGTCTGCTCCGTCGTGGGCGGTGGTGGCACGGGTGCACATCGAGGCGTCGCGGCCACGCCATCATCGGCACCGGCAGCCTCGGAACCCGCCGACTCTGTCGCGGGCGTGCATCCGGAGAGGGGGGCGTCAGCAGTGGAGGCCGTGTCCCTAGATCCCTCGTGAGGGAGAAGTGGAGAGGGGTCGGCGGGCGCAGCGGGGAGAGGAGGCACCGCGACGGCCGACGGCGGGGAAGGCGCCGCCAGGTGTGGCTCGCCACGCGCCCAGCCCCGTGGACCGCGTGAGGAAGAGAAATTATGGCTCACGGTGATGATTGCCTTTTAGTTGCAAAGTTCATTTTTCTGAATATTATATGTTTCTGTGGTATAATCATTGATTCGTTTCCATGAATTTCATCCAGGTTTTTATGAAGTAGCAGAGCTGTTATTGTCCAGGGAAGCTAAGGTTGACCTTATGTGTGAAAATGGTGGGGCGCAAATAATATTGTTGCTAAAAATGGACATGCTAAAATGCTGAAGCTATTGTTGCAACATAAAGCAGGCGTAATAACTTCATGATTACCTGCTGTTGTTTAATCTTTTCATCGATACTATATAGGGTGGAGTTTAGTATTTTACCCTTATTTCATGCGAAAATTGCTCGTCTTGGTAGATTCTTCCCTTGATGTTTTTTCCCACTCAATAAACAACATCATAAGCTTTATATACTTAGCCCAGCCGTGGTGGCTAGAATGCTATTTTTCCTTGCTTTACTGGCCAACTCAAGGAGTCTTATTTAACTGTTCATTCCAATGGCATATTACACCTTTAAATCCTATTTTGTTCAGTACCGTGACATGTTATTTTGCTTTTCTCCAGTACAACGCTGGCAATCCTGCTGCTACGTTGGTCATAGCTGCTGGGAAAGGCTTAACTGATTGCATCAAGTGTTTGTTGAAAGCTGGTGCCGATGCAAATATTTCTGATGAAGTGAGTTTTATCTTTCTTTTTAACTTGTTATAGCTGTAACTGTTCTCTTGCTTCTGGGACCTGTGTCCGTTATACTTGCAGCAGTGCAGCACTACTTTCAGGAATTTTCTAGAGTTAATATGTTATTGAAGCATGCCAAGATCTCAAAGATTTTTGTGAGTATAGGTTTTTTAAGGTAGTGAGTACAGTTTAGAAAACCACCCAACTACACAAGTGAATCTAGGGTAATTAGCAAAGTATTCTCAGTGATGCAATTTGTTGGTATTTAGTGTTTATTGTCATTGCTTTCTGAAACCGGTCCTTTTTGGTAGCCTGTTTAGTGCTATACAGACCAAATATTGTTTTCTTTGAAAGTATTGTGACACTAGTTTATTTAATGTACTTATTTCATAGCTAGGAGCAATTTTTGAGTAAAGTACTTTGTCTTAAAATCTGAAGTCCAACATCTTACCTTGAATAAAAAAATATTCCTATCTTGTCACAGTGATAATGACTTGCCAGGGATAATGGGAGTTATGAGCACATGTGCAGTGTCTAGACTCTGCCAATCGCATATACAATTGTTATTCTCATATGTGACCTCAGTGTTGTATAATGATTTCCCAAATTCTCTTTGTACTTTTGTATATTGGTTATTCCTTGAGCTCTCTCATGTTTAATTTTGGTTATTCCTTGAGCTGTCTCCTGTTTAATTTTTAATTGTCCTTAATACTGCTTCTTAACAGGATGGTAAACTACTAGTTCAAGTAGCTGCATGCCAAGGATGGAAGGAATGCGTTGAGATTCTTTTCCCTGTCACAACTCCTTTGGCAGAATATGCAACCTGGAGCATTGATGGAATAATTCAACATGAGAAAACTGCGAGTTCAGAACCACAAGTAAGAATAAATATTTCTCTTTTTCTACTGAATGGCAGTTCTATTGATGTTGGTAGTTGTTTTGCAGATTGCTAAAATATCCTATTACTATTTTCGTGCATTGTAGATAATGCAATTTATGTTCTATTTTATTTTCACTCTGTGATTTTTGCATGCCTGCACAAAGTGTATGAAAATTGGCATTATAGTTTTTCCCCAATGTATGCTAAATTGAGGAAAAGCCTTATCTTCTTGCATAATCTCAGTATACTCCAATCGTGATATCTCGTGATATCAATTAGCTCTTCATGCTGTGTTTTCTGACTGGGAATGCATATTGGTTCATCCTGAGTTCCTGATGAGCTAGGTTATGTTACACGCGATAATTTCCATATCAGTGGTCTAATTGTTGAACTTTGGGTTACCACTTTCCTATTCCAACCTTGTTGTAGAAGAGACTACATTTACATGTGCATTCCCTGATGCCCAGAATTACTTATCTACCATACCTAAATTGTTTGCATCTAGACAGCTGCAGGTTTCGGATTTGGATGATAAAGAGAATGCTGTTTCTGATGATAACACCAACAAGGATAAGCAGCCACATCAATCAAAGTTATGCTCTGAGAAAGGAAAAGCTTTGACAACGGTGGAGGTGAGTTGTGCTAGCATGTTGCAAGAGCATTTGATTTCAGTGTGTGTGAGGTGCCAGGTTCCCAGCTCATGTGTTCACACTTTCATCTTCAGGAGAACGGAGGAGGAATTGAAACACTCATGTCCGGTTTGAACTTGGGTCCTGAAGATCCGTCTGACAAAGCATGGAGGTACGTAGCCTCCAGTCTATTCTTCAGTTACTGATTGCAGATGTCTACTAGGATGCCCCGTAGCTGGTTATCTTGATAGACTACAAAATCTTGCCATAGTTGGTCGTTTTATGCCTTCTCGACACTCTTAAGATATAATTACTTATATGTAGGGTACGGCATCATATGTATGTTGTTATTTCGCACCATGTACAGTATTTGATGTTGCTGCACCTTGATGCTGCTTCTTGTTACTCTCCCTTTCTGCTTTCCCTTTTTGGATATGCTTATTTGCATACCAATCTTCAGACTACTGAACTTGCTGGAATGGTGGCCTGCAATACTACGATGCTAATGCAGCTTTCGTTACGTACTTCCGTGCAGGCCACTGCTGCGCAGGTCGACCAGAGCGAGGCAGCACAACGTCCGGATCAATGGACCTGAATGGGCTAGGTAGACACAGAATGCAACTTCCCTAGAACCTGTCCAGTGTTCACGTTCTCATGGTGCAAAGAAAAAGCAAAGCTGCTGGATATGCTGAGAATTTTTTTTTTCTTTGGAAAATAGGTTTGCCGAGTGTAATTCTAAAAACACTCGGCAAACATATCAGTATGCTGAGAAAAAAATTATTTTTTTTCTTTGGAAAATAGGTTTGTCGAGTGTAATTCCCAAAAACACTCGGTAAACCACTTTTTTTTGCCGAGTGTCAAAACCATTTGCCGAGTGCGCGATAAAAAACATTTGGCAAATAGCTGTTTGCCGACACTGTAGATGCCGTGTACTGTTTGCCGAGTGTTACACTCGGCAAAACCTTTATCGAGTGCCTGTAGCACACGGCAAGTATCTTGTCGAGCTGGTGGTGACAATGGTCTGCAACATTGGGGTGTCTCATCTGCTCTTCATTCAAACCCGTGCTCTTCAGTGCTCCTCTCGAGTAAAGCAAACCTGAGAGAGGATTGTTGATAGCATATCTCGTGCAGGAGAAAGCCTTCATCTTTCTTAAGGTCGTCTGCTCCGAGGCTTGCTTCACATGTAGTGCATGCTGCAGCTCCTGGCTGTGAACTTGTATGTAGCAGAATACTCCATCAATGACGGCATTTGTGTTTTATTTTCCATAAGCCGACAGAATACATTCAATGTCCTTTCCATTTCTGTTGTAGAAACCAAATGTAGCCTTGTCTGTTTGTTTGCCAGCCAGCGCACTGCTGATAATGACGCGAAGGCGTACAAATGATTCATGATTCTTCAAAAGACAAGAGCCATTGATACTGTCAAAGACTTCACCAACAAGCATCTTAACGAGCACCTCATCTCTATGGAACCCAGTAAGCTTAGTCATGGCGGCATTCCACTCGGAGCACCACCCAAACTGGTCAGCACCAAATATAGGAGGAATGAGTGGGTTTGGGTTGTGAATTATTGCCTTGTTGTCTCCATCAACCCGAGTAAATTTGAGCATGGCCAGCTTATGAACAGTCATATCTTGGGCCACAAAGCACACCCCAATTACATGGCCATAACTATCATTGGTGGAACAAGCATTTGCAACCAAGATAACTGGCCCATCATCTGCCCTCGAACTGTGAGTTTTCATTTCAAATCGAACCTCCTTCTCTTCTTTGCCTGTTATATCAGTGAAATGTTATATAAAGGAAATGTTCAAAACCACTAATTATCAAGTATATTTTTTTCAATGGGATCAAATAATTAAGGCATGCATAATAAAGAATTGAAGATCAAATGTAGCAGTTAAAACAGCTGAAGAAAAAGCATAAAACTAAAAACAGCCGAATAGTAAAATACTGAAATGGCTAGAAAAAAAATAATCTACATACCATCCAGAGCCAAGTATAGCATTTTCTGTACAACTGGTAAAGATGATTGCTCTACCAGGGTAAGTATGTGCCTTCCTACAGTCTCCTCCACTATCAATCCTGACAGCTCCACTAACTTAAGGTTCCATCCACTGACCAATCCATTTGCATCGACTGCAAATATTGGAGCAGTTGTTGTTTCCATCAGACAAGACATTTCTTTTGTTACGTCTGCAATTCAGCAAGCCCATCCTTTTTTAGATAACGGAACAAAGTTCCAGCCTCCTGGCTAAGCAAACAAGAATCCTTGGCTGACTTGATAGCATTGTTCTGGTTCCTTTCATTGAGTAATCCGTTAACATCTAGAGCCAAGATTAGAGGACTTGTTGCTTCCACCATATGAACCATTTCACTTGTAACCATGTGCAATTTATTAAGACAATCAAGTTTGATGTCATCAATCTGCGGGTTATCTAAACCAGCTGCCCCGGTTGGTTTTGGGTCACCATTCATCCTATCTCTAAGTATGAGCTGCAATGAGCAGATGGCATCCATCTCATAGTCATTCCACGACATACTTTTCATCTTAACAACCTCGAGGAATGCCATGAACGTCGACCTAGGGTGCATTCTTCTGCTATCATCCTGGTCAGATGGATCATGCTTTGCACCACCCCATTTGATATCAGCAGCTGTATGTGACCTGGACCAGAAAACAATATCATTTGGGCCAATCTTAGCCATTGCCATTCCACAAATCTTGTCACCAAGGGAACCTGCTCCTGGATATCCAGCATCAACAAGGCTATCAGTACTCAAACCGGTGGAATCCATATGAACCTCTGATAGCCACGAGGCTATATCACGTATTTGAGGCTCCGTTGGAGTTATGCATAGCCGCCATACTCTGTCACCATGCAAAAGAGCAGCACCATCACATTTAACAAGGTCCATGATATTTGGACTCCCAGATATGATGCTCAGCGGAGATGCTTCATGGAACAACATATCAGAGAGCATTGTCTGTACATCAAGTATGCTTTTCTCTCGTATCTGCTTCTCCAACAGAAATTCGTTGTTCACATGGACAACGAATACTTCTACCAGGAACTCACACGCGTACCATACTAGAAAGGGGATATATCTTGGGCTCCCATGGTGGCAAACAAGGAGACCCCATAGTCTCCTACTCTTGAGTTCTTTTGGAGGTTCTTCAGGCTTGACATCATCACCCTCTCTATTTCCATTTATTACTACAGCCAGGACAAGTGATGCAATTGAGTTCATGTTCTCCATGTACTCAAGGTGACAACTATGTGGAGTTCTAAGAGTTGAGCCGGCCAGACTTATATCAAAGGGGAGTCCTTTAGCTTCTATTGTCTTCACAGAATTTGCTCGACAATCATAAACTATTCGTACTTTGTTCTTCTTGGAAAGAAACCTAGCAGCTTCAGGGATATCAGTGGCCGGATAGTGAAGACCAAGATAAGGCTCAAGACCAGGTTTTGTGACCTCCGCAATGGCCTCACCATGGTCATCTTCATGGAACATGTAAGCCATGACCCTATCATAACCGGTAAGGTCAAAGACTTAACCACAATATTGCATATGATCTGCATGCTTCCTCCTGGTAGTGACTGCATCTTGGAGACTGCTTTGGCAGCACGCTTGTAAGACTGTGAAGTCCTAGTGGCAATGAAAGCGAATTTAGTATGCTTTACAGGCTCAAAGTCTACCACACCAGACAATCGATAGGCCTATGAACAATGGCATACATTTGCTTGCTTGAGGTCTTGCATTGAACTATGATAGGATTGAGCAAAGAAACGTCATCCAATTTGAGTGCCTTATGAAGGGCAGCGAGACTAGGACCAGAGAAAATGGACTCAACATTGGTGCCAATCTGTATCTTTAGAGCATCGTCATCAACAGTTGGTACTACAGAATTGATTGCCATCAACATTTCAGGTCCATTCTCACTGAATGCAATTATATTGAAGCTCTTCTCATCAAGGACCAACAAGCAACCAAATGGTTGGATTAGTTTGGCTCTCTGAATTTGCTGCAAGTATGATATGACCTTCTCCGGATGCCCAAGCTGTTCAGGTTGGCTTTGTGTGGTCCGTTGTGCTTTAATCAACTTAAAGTTGTCATAGGAATTACCGGATTCTTCATATTCTGCAAGTTTAGAATCAAAGGTTGCTTGTGATTGTCAGTTTAAGCCGTGCACTGTAAATAGGATAGGGATGCATGTTTACATTCTGTTTCTGCATGCGCACGAGCACTGTCTTGTGGTGGCCGTGCGTGTAGGAGGTAGTGGAGCGAGAATAGCTCGCACAAGCATCTGGGTGATTGGTTCTGGGCGCACGCCGTGGACGTGGGGATGGACGCGTCATGCAGCGCGGTGTGCGGCCAGCCACCGAAAGCTCTACTTCTTGTAATGCATAATAAAAGGAGAATACAAGGTCAGAAAATGCTGCGGTCTTTTGGGCAGCACCAAATCGCTTGTATTAGTGTGTTTCTTCTCCGGCGAGAGCCTGTGTTCCCGGCGCCGTACATCGTCGCCCGGGGTCTAACAAGTGGCATCAGAGCTAGTGTTCGAGAGACCATTCTCGCCATAACGCGTGGTCGCACGCCGAAGAAAGTGACGGCTCCAGCGATTCTCGGCTAAGTCGCCGCCCGCGCGTCCGCCGCCCTGAGCCGATCTCCACCACGTCGTTCGCGTATACGTCGTATTTATTTTAGCCGCGACTCACGTCGTCCGATGGGAGGTGGTGGTCAGCTTATCGTCCGGGAAGGAGGTGGCAATCACAACGGCCGCATTCACTTCAAGACAAACTACAACTCGTGGTCAATGCGCATGAAGCTGAAGATGCAAGCACGCCACATCTGGGATGCCCTGGAGTTCGACGACGCGGACTACGACGACGATCGTAGCGCGCTCAATGCCATCTGCAGCGCCGTCCCGGAGGAGTTGGTGCCGGCGCTAGCGACCAAGGCAACCGCCAAGGAGGCCTGGGAGGCCATCCGGACTCTCCGCATCGGCGATGACCGGGTGCGGAAGGCGACGGCGCAGAACCTCCGTGCCGAGTACGAGTCGATCGCCCTGCGCGACGGAGAGGCAATCGAGGACTCCGCGCTTCGTCTGACCGGCATCGTCTAGCGGCTGGCAACTCTGGGCTACCCCGAGCCAGACAACAAGGTCGTCGCGAAGTACCTGCGAGTCGCGCGATCGAGGTACAAGCAGCTGGTCATTTCAATTGAAACGTTACTTGATATCTCCCAACTGTCCATCGAGGAAGTCACCGGCCGGCTGAAGGCGGCGGACGACGTCGAGCCCACGCCGCTGGTGGTAAGCTGCTGCTCAGCGAGGAGCAGTGGTTGGAGAGGTACAAGAAGCAGGACACGGGACGTGGTGGTTCCAGCTCCGGCGGTCGCGGCAAGCCTCGCGGCCGCGGCGGCGGAAATGGCGGCAACGACGGGCGCGGCGCTGCTGGTTTAGCTCGCGCTGGGCCGGATGATGAGTGCAAAAGGTGCGGCAAAAAGGGTCATTGGGCCCAGCATTGCCGCGGCAAACTCAAGGTGCAGGAACAGGCCCATGTGGCCCATGATGTCGAACCCACACTGATGTTCGCGTATGGGGCCGAGGAGGTAGCGTCGCCTCCCCACGTGACCCAGACGCGTGCGCCGTTCCCCACCAACACCGCCGCCGCCGCTAGGGACTCGCTCCTCCCTAGCACCAGCGCTATCTCCCCAGATGCCGCTCAGCACCGGAGCGAGAGCGAGCTCCAGGAGGCGGACCCACCTTCGCCCCCTCCGACATCGGCGCCCAGGAAGGTCGTTGGAGGAGCCGCTGATCCCGCGCCCCAGCTCGAGCTCGTGGAGGCGAAGGTGCTCGCCGCCTTCGACGGGGCAGAGGACCGGGACCCCAAGCGCTGGGTCCTGGACACAGGCGCCACGAACCACATGACCGGCTCCCGCAGCGCCTTCTCCAACCTGGACACCAGCATCGTCGGCACGGTGCGCTTCGGCGACGGCTCCGTCGTCAAGATCGAGGGCCGCGGCACCATCCTCTTCGCCTGCAAGAACGGGGAGCACCGCACCCTCGCCAACGGGTACTTCATCCCGCGCCTCACCACGAACATCATCAGCATCGGCCAGCTCGACGAGGTGGGGTTCCAGGTGCTGGTGGAAGAAGGGGTGATGCGGATCCGCGACGAGGAGCGCCGCCTGCTGTCCAAGGTACACCAGAGCCCAAGTCGGCTCTACATGCTCGACGTCGAGATTGCACGGCCGGTGTGCCTGGCCGCACACGCCACGGAGGATGCGTGGCTCTGGCACGCCCGCTTCGGCCACGTCAACTTCAGCGCCCTTAGGAAGATGGGGCGCGAGGCGCTCGTCCGAGGTCTGCCCATGCTGGAGCAGGTGGACCAGCTCTGCGACGCATGCCTCGCCGGCAAGCACCGGCGGACGCCGTTCCCTCAGCGCGCGCTCTCACGTTCCACGGAGGTGCTGCAACTGCTGCACGGGGACATCTGCGGGCCTATATCTCCACCGACGCCGAGCAGGAACCGCTTCTTTCTGCTGCTCGTCGACGACTACTCGCGGTACATGTGGATCGCGCTGCTGCCTTCCAAGGACACGGCGGCTATGGTGATCAAGCGTATCCAGGCCGCGACGGAGCGCAAGACCGGGAAGCGCGTTCGTGCACTCCGTACGGATCGGGGTGGCGAGTTCTTGGCGGGCGACTTCGAGCAGTATTGCGCCAACATCGGGCTACGCCGCGAGTTGACAGCGCCGTACTCGCCCCAGCAAAACGGCGTCGTCGAGGGCCGGAATCAATCGGTGGTGGGTACCGCCTGGTGCATGCTCAAGGCGAAGCAACTTCCAGGTGTCTTCTGGGGGGAGGCCGTGACAACAGCCGTCTACCTCCTAAATCGCTCCTCCTCCAAGAGCATCAGCGACAAGACCCCATATGAGCTCTGGACCGGGAGCGCACCTGGAGTCCAGCACCTGCGCACATTCGGGAGCATCGCGCACATGAAGCTGACGGCGCCGAACCCCAAGAAGCTCGATGACCGGAGCCGGCGCACCATCTTCGTCGGCTACGAGGCGGGCTCCAAGGCGTACCGCCTGTACGATCCACTGGCGCGGCGTGTTCACGTGAGCCGCGACATCGTCTTCGACGAGGGCGCCAAATGGGACTGGGCTGGTGAACATCCTGCTGGAGCCGATGACTTCACCGTGGAGGAAGGTAGCATGCAGGCGCCTGAGGTGATCACCGTGACATCATCGACTACGCCGGCTGCGGGCACATCGACGTCCAACTCGACATCACCTACACCGTCACCGCCTTCTTCATCGGCCTTCCACGACGTCACACCGCAGACTCCAAGCACCCCAGCACAAGCTGCTGGACAGGGGCTGGAATTTGCCACGCCTCCAGGCACTGGTGAAGCAGATTTGGATGCTGATCACGATGATGCTCCACTTCATTTCCGCAGGGTTGACAACGTGCTGGGCCCTGCGTCACCACCAGGCCTGGCACATCGGGAGACGTCCGAGCAGCAGCTGCTGGCCAGTGATGCTGAGCCGTCCACGTTCGCCGAAGCGCTGGAGCACGAGTGCTGGCGCCCCGCCATGCTCGATGAAATGACGGCGATTGAGGCCAACGGCACATGGGAGCTCGTTGACCCTCCACCGCGCACTCGCCCCATCGGACTCAAGTGGGTGTACAAGGCGAAGAAGGACGCGGCCGGGCTCGTCTCCAAGTACAAAGCCCGGCTGGTGGCGAAAGGCTACGTCCAGCGACAAGGCGTGGACTTCGATGAGGTGTTCGCGCCGGTGGCGCGTCTGGAGTCCGTGCGGCTCCTTCTTGCGCATGCTGCAAGCGAGGGATGGGCTGTCCACCACATGGACGTCAAATCGGCCTTCCTCAATGGTGAGCTGCAGGAGGAGGTCTACGTCGAGCAGCCGCCGGGCTTCGTCCTCAAGGGGCAAGATGGCAAGGTGCTGTGTCTCGTCAATGCGCTGTATGGGCTTCGCCAAGCCCCCCGCGTCTGGTACGTGAAGCTGGACAGCTCGCTGCTGGGACTTGGCTTCCGGCGTAGCGACTCTGAGCACGCTGTTTATCTCCACGGTGAAGGCGCACGTCGCCTCATCGTGGGGGTGTACGTCGACGACCTTGTGATCACCGGCGGAGTTGCGGGAGACATTAAAGAGTTCAAGTCACAGATGAAGGCAACGTTCCAGATGAGCGACTTGGGGCTGCTGCACTACTATCTCGGTCTGGAGGTAACTCAGTCCACAGATGGTATTACCTTGGGCCAAAGTGCATATGCAGCGAAGATTCTCCAGAACGCCGGGCTGGCTGGGTGCAACCCCAGCTTCATTCCCATGGAACCGCGCCTCAAGCTGAGCAAGAAGAGTTCTGCACCTGCCGTCGACGCCACCGCGTACAGGAGCATCGTCGGGTCTCTCCGGTATTTGGTGAATACCAGGCTAGACTTGGCCTACTCGGTGGGCTATGTGAGCAGGTTCATGGAGGAGACGACCACCGA